GTCTTTCAGCTTCGGTTTCGCGGACATGGAGGACATCGTCGTTCTTGGGGCCACAAGCTAGGATCAGACGGACGAGAACGCCGAACCGGCCTGGCCAAGCTCGGCTGCCAGACGCTCCGCGAGTTCCCAGCCCCACCGGTTAGCGGTCCCTAAAAACCTATGCCCAGACAGTCCATGTATGCCATATGCCTACAGCCTACATTGGGGTGTTTTTTGGGGCCAATGTAGGCATATAAATGCATAGGTGGAGTGTCTGGGTATAGGGGAGGAACCCTCAGACCCCGAATGCTCCAAGGATGCGGGGGCCGAGTTTGGGGTCGTGCCTCGCCGGGTCGGTTGGGAAGCTTTTCCGGGATCACGCAACAGGGGAGGACTGAAATCCATTTCACCAGCTTCTTCAGCTTTGGTCTCCTGGTATCCCATGACCAAATCATCCCATGACCAAATCACTTCTTCAGCTGACCTTTTTGGAGTCTCCTTTTGTGACCTGAAAACAGGCCTAATTCAGTGACCGAACCAACCGGATCCAGTTCGGTCACGAGTTCGGAAGTACCAGGCTCTGGACCCCGTTTCAACCTCGGCTACATGGGGCCCCAGTCCTACCGGCTTTGCTAGATCTGCATAGGGTTTTGATAAGGTCATGTCCCAGAAAACCCGCCGAACACCCGCAGAAACGACCCAAGCTCCGGCTCCGACAGGTCGTCCTCCATCGACTCGATTCACCGCTGATGGACATGGGCTATAGGTATGGCTAGGTTTTGTTCCTTGACTCAACTCCCGGGCTCGAGACTGCTTAGGTGGACTCAACTCCCATAGGTCAACTCGAACCCTAGTGCGAAAGCACGAGCTCTTTGTAGTTTGTTCCTTGACTCAACTCCCATTTTCCTCCCACTCCGGGGTGCAACACTCAAATCTAATCTCAGCAACCTGAGCTGTTCAGGACGGCAAGGGCCTGCGTCGGAGCGCCACCATTGGCGTGGAGAACTTCATCGCGGCGCGGTGGGTGGAGCGGTCGGGGTATGCCTAACCCCCCTGGCACCACCACCCCTGGCCGTTTTGAAGGCAGTCCTATGGCAGTCCCAAACAGGTCGTGTCTGGGAAAGTGCCATGAAGCTGTGATGTGCAGCGCTTCGGAATTTCCATGATAAGACACTGGGATCCTCCAAGACGTCCCAGAAACCACCTTTCGGTCGGGTGCTAAAGGAGTCTGTTGGACGGTGCTCTATATGGAATATTGACCTCTACAATGACCCCTGATGTCACACCACTCCAACTGATCGGACGTATACATGATCAGTATATGATCCGTCTCATTCGCGTCTGGGAACATCCTGCAAGTGTCGGAGGATCCCAGAGGATCACACGAAGCACTGGAACCGGTCACTGGAACCCGCCTCCCAGCGAGTCCGCGGGAACTGCCTGGATTTCAGTAAGTCCTGGCAGGTCCTCAGTCCGAAGCAATAAACCGTTCTGTCCACTCCTTCGTCCCAACCACCTAGTGAAAGAATCTCAAGCAGGGCCAATATAAATATATTGGAAGAAGCCTTCAGTTTCTGGTTGGGGCTCGGTTTTCAGGATGCTCCCAGATTGATCAGTCCTCTAATCCCCACTCCCAGACCTTAAGCGATCAAGCAGCTCAAGCTGCTTCAGACCGAAGGCGGGAAGAAAGACCCTTCCAACCACCCAGACGCGAAGTCTGGACCCTCCATTCAGCAGGGGGCCGTACCCGAATCCTCTGGTCAGGGATGTTTGGACCCTCAAAACCCAGTGTTTTCTGGGCCTGGTTTTACGGAGCGTCTGGGCAGAAGAGTCGCTCAGCTTCGGACGGAACACTCGCCCGAACTGCGCCCAGGCGGCCGATGGGCGCACGCCCTTGCGTGCCCGTGCGCTGCGCGGAGCGCGAACCAGGCGGGAGATGGCGGGAGCGGGGTAGTGAAGGCTGGAGGGATGGGAGCGACGGTGATGGAAGATATTCCGAGTGTTTTTTCCCCCACGTTGTTAGGGAAGTGTTTCTTTTTTCGACCTCTATGGCCACTATAGATAAACATGGAAACATGGAGTGAGAGGTTGTGGCACTGGGGTTTGATGGACTGCATCTTAGACCATTGCCATGGCACAGAAAACCATCCAATTTAGTCAGTGCATGGGTCCTTCAACGAGCCCAAAAGGCGATCCACGTAGCGAGGACTCGGACAGACCGACTCCAGGGCCGCCTCAGGTACGACATGGGATCACTTGGATCCTCTAAGCCTCAGTGCCAGCATAGACCCCAGGGACCCCAGGTAGATTGTGGTGGGCAGCACGGAAGACGGACACATGGGTCATCATGGGCTCCGTCTTCCTCAGTTGTGGTCGGACAGTTGGTTTGATGAGAGAGGAGTTGCTCGCTTCCATAGGCCAGTGATATGCCTTCGTCGTGCGTTTATGGGCATTCAGAGGCTGGCAGCCACTGGCAAAATCATTTGGAAACACAGTTGAGGGCCAAGGAACTTCTCGCGTACCAGAATACACAAGCTTGTGTCTACCTTTCCCACATACAATGGGTTGGCATTGTTTTGTCGCTCATCGTCCATGTGGACGACATGTTGCTTGCAGGTGACACGTGTTCTCATGACCATGCCATGGGACTGGAATAGTTACCATGCCATGGATTATATAATGGTCTATATATATGTTCATACCTGGCACTTCCATTGGGCGCCCTATCTGGAGACCTATACAAGTCCAGGAGCAAGGACGCTACTAGGGGCTCCTGGCCGTACTACTAGGAACAAGAAGCTACGAACGGGGCTCCTGGCATCGCTACTAGGAGCAAGGACGCTACTAGGAACAAGTGCATCGCTTCTAGTAACAAGTGCCTTACTAGTAGTAACAAGGACGCTACGAACGGGGCTCCTAAATTGGTGACCCGTTGGGTTGGCAGACTTTCGCAGGCCGGAGCTGCACGATCCGCCCGGGCGCCCGAAGAGCCACTGCTTGGGACGGCTAGCGGTTCCGAACGGAGAGGATTGGATCTGGGAGACCTATAGAGGAGAGGACATCTTCAGAAGGGTACACTCCCTGGAACTAACATGGAAGTGGAAAATGGCCCCTTGGAAGACCATTTTCATCCATTTTCCACTACAAACAGGTGGTGAACTCCACTTCCATGTTAGTTCCAGGGAGAGTATTTTGTTGGGATGAAATGTATTTTGCTATACTTACATGCACCCATATTCCATGTACTTCAACCCATGGTCACTGCATAGGAGTGTGAGATAGTGTACAAGTTCGCTGGATCAATTAGCTGGACTTACAGGGTTTGTAATTCGATTTGGCTGGAAGAAGGAACTAATGTTGCGCCTCGAACAGTGACAGTGAGACATCCCTCACAGAACGGTCTTTGGACTCTGGTTTGTTTGGACCTGTTCATCAAAAAGATCAATCTGAGTAACAGGTTTCTCTGACCAGTGCTTGATAGGGAATGAGGAATGCGCCAATAGAGATTCCTTTGGATCCATTTCTTCATTCCCTGCTAAGCACAGGTCAGCATTTTTGGTGTGGGAGGACAGCCGAAGTAATGCCGGTAGATTCACCCCCATCCCATCCTAATTCCATCCAACCCTGGGTTTCACAAACCCGGAAGTGAACCATGATACACCGTAGCCAAGAATGCAGAGACTCTGGAGAAACATGCAGATATGAGCCCTGGCGGGTTTCTAGATGAACAGGGTCTCTTGTTCAGCTCTGGTCGGACAGACAGGGACGACGGACAGGGAGGTACGGTATTTTGTATGTTCACTCTGTAGCAAGATGCACATGGAACATTTAGTGAAACATTATGTGTCCAGACGCTTCTGGACCCGAATATGGAGGGATCGGCGAATCCTGTGGAGGGGTCTGGGGTCTCAAATTGGTAGGTTTTAAGAGACCGGTCGGGCTATATGAAGTGTCTGGGTGGAGCAGGACGCCGGAAGCGCATCTTCCCGCACTGGATCATTGAGAAGCCTCTGTTGATTGATGATTCGGTTGATGTTGAACGTTGAACCGAACCTGATATCAAGCTCATCGCGTTTGGTTTGTTAAGGGTTCTGTCACTGGTGCTGGTTCTGTCACTGGTGCCTGATACCGGATACGAACATCTCAAACATCTGGGAGAATCCCAGTGACAGACCCTTCTGCTGGTGTGTGGCTGCCACCAGCAGCTGCGGGGCGAAGTCTCAACCAATCATTTCGGGGGCCATCGGTGGTTGCTGGCTTGCTGGGAGGATGTTTCTCTAGATGTCCTCCCAAAAAGACGTGAATGTCCGTTTCTCTTGTGGGAAGATGGACATCGGTACCAGAAGTGGACATGAAGAATATGAGGCTTTCCCACCCAGGAACTTGTGTTACCTGCAACCTTTGGTTGGGAGTCGAATATCCTTGTCCTTATAGCTCTGAGAGTCAAGGCCTACTAAAAAGTTGCCTTGAGGGGACCTGAGGGGAATTTTCTTTACTTCAGTAAGGACAAATATATCCCAGTCATTGGCTGAGAAAGTCATAGGTCTACCCACCCCAGGGTGTCTGCCCAAAATCCCTATCAACACCAGACATCGTACGGTTTGCGCAATTGTCTCCCGCTTTGCCGCAGCTGTGAGCGCCAAACGTTCAACATACAAGTCCATACCAACCAACGATTTCGTCAGCAGTGTTTTCCATGGTGGAAAGCATGGTGTTTGGGCAAAGACCCACCAAATCCTCTCAATGATTTTAAGATGACAGGCTTTGATTTAAAGTATTCCACTCGACTTTATAGGATCGGACCATTCGCTTTCGGCCCCGCCTTTCCAGCCCTGCGGGCTCGACAAAAAGCAACCAAGATCTGTGTTTGTCAGAGGTTGCCGAAGTTTCCCGGCTGGAAAACTGGAAGGATGAATAGACCGTGTCAAATTGCATTTGATATGATGTTTTTTGAAGTCTATGCTTTTTCGCACTACCAACAAACTGCCCAACAGCCTACAAACCATAGCTCAACTATAGTTGTCTCCACTGTCCACCGACCCTGCGACCCCGCGCAATGGAGAAGTTCAGTGTTTTGCAGCTCTTGGAACAGGCAGGAGGGCAGGAGGCCAGGAGGCCAGGAGGCCAGGAGGCCAGGAGAGGCAGGGCAGGAGAGCACTCCTTCCCAGAATACCACTCCAAGAATGTCACTGAAAAAAACAACATCGCACCTTCCAAGACACGAGTTGCTCATTCAGGTCAGATCCCTTCCGAGCCTCCCAGACCGACTGGCCAAACGCCCACGACCCACACGACCGCCGCACGGCACCGATGTGGCCCGTCCAGGCGGGCCGTGCCCATGAAACGGAGCTGGCCGCACTTCAAGAGGCGCCGCGGCGGAACCGCGCGCGGTTTCCGCCGCGGGCTCCGTTTGGGGGCCACGGATTGGGGCGACCCCTGCAGAAGCTGAAATGATATAACTAAGAGATCTCGATCCGCAAGTTTTGAATGTTCCAAAGAAAGCAGGTGTTGGATGCTGTTGGTCTCCCGAACACGACCGACGGGATGAGCGCTCCGCTGTGGCGTAGTCTCTCCGAGCACTGAAGTAAGGGGTTGTCGGTCATGGTTCGCTGGAGAACAGATGAGTGACCATCCGAAAAAGGTCACAGAGGATTTATCATTCCTGGAGTCTCCTTTGGTACGTTAAAATGTGTACCAGTGGAAATTTGGTACCTTATTCTGGGGGTGGTACGTTATTTGAAGAGGCCACTCTGAACGAGCACCTTTTTGGAAATGGTACCAATGGTTGAAGTTTGTCCTGATTGCTTATTATGGAGTGTTCGGGTCTGGGTTTTTGATTTTGGTTGTGTCATGCATGCATGAGCATGAGTGTGTAATTACCAGAGATATCTGACAGCTCTTCCCAATCCCTGCTGACCTTTCTCAGGCCCGGTGATGGATTTATTTGTAACATTTTGTAACTTTTTGTTATAGCCTTTAGTTACCTGCGAACCCTGGATGAGAGGTGTGACATGGAATGATCATTGATGATCATTGATTGTTTGAATTAACATTTCATTTCTTTTTGTGAACCTCCTGACTCCGGGCAGTTGGTTAAAGAAGAAAACAGCGCACTTTCCAAACCACTTGCTCCACTTGCTGGATATACTCCTGCCGTAACTCAGAGAGGTCCGAACTGAGCCGCCGCACCGAGAGTTTGCCTCGTCAATGCCGCCCCAGAAAGACCCCGGAAATCAACCACCCCAATGTAATGTCAATACGCCAGTCCCACGGAGCGTTTGGGCACTGGCTGTTGGCTCTTCCAAAAACAATCGCTGCCCTGCAACGCATGACCTGCACATCTCCGTCCACTGAATTCGTCACTGCAGACTGCCGGATCACCCCCATGTCGTTGAATGTTTTTCCCGAATGCGTAGCGAAGGGTTCTCGTTTAACTTGGGAGTCTGAGGGTAGAGCTGTGTTTGCCCGACGTTGTTTTTGAGTTCGCAACCGTTTGCAACCGTCTGCAACCGTCCGTATGATGTCTCTATGGCCGTGCCATTGGGGGAAGCTTTTGGAGTAGGTTTCGGATGAAACCGTGACGTGTCAGATTCGTGTGAAATAGCGAGGAATCGTGTGGAAATGTAAGATGCTGAAGTGTGGAGGATGATTTCACTGCGCTGGTGCAGCGTTTTGTGATATCCGCAGTTTGCTGCGCAGTTCCATTGGGATTAGTGTTTGGAGAGTCGTGTTTTTGGGGTGTTGGATGTGGCCGTGCCATTGGGATTTGCATTTCAGGGTGTGGCATCGAAGCTCTGTTTTCGTGACAAGTCTCAGCTGAAATGGCGATGTTGGTGGATGGGAGTGTGCTCAGAACGGGTCGAAATCATTCCAAACATGTGGTGTGGTGCAAATTTTGTTGAAGCTCACATGAGATGATATTTCACTTTTCGTGGCAGGCGCAGTACTTTGTGCGGGCTTTGAGGTGTGGAAGTGCGATTTTCGTGGCAGGCGCAGGGTAGCGAGAGGTGTGACGGAGGTGACATTTCGTGGCAGGCGCAGTACTTTGTCACATGTGGACGCGGAAAGATTCGTGGCAGGCGCAGGCAATCGTGAGGTTGTGAGTTGTGGTAGAGGTGAATGTCGCTGTCACATTGAGCGGGTGTTGTTTGGAGGGGCTGGAATCGCGAAACTGCTTGGCAGGGCTGCGTGATGTGTGTGCTCCGATGGGTGTTTCCGCTTGACTTTTGGAGGAAGTCTCGTACGAAACGCTCGTTTTGCAGACTTTGGCATGTGAGTTTTTGAGGAAGTCTCGTACGAAACGCTCGTTTTGGAGACTTGACACGTGACTTTTGGAGGAAGTCTCGTACGAAACGCTCGTTTTGGAGACTTGACATGTGACTTTTGGAGGAAGTCTCGAACGAAACGCTCGTTTTGGAGACTTGACGCGTGACTTTTGGAGGAAGTCTCGTACGAAACGCGCGTCTTGCAGCCTCGAAGTGTGACTGTTGGAGGAAGTCTCGTACAAAACGCTCGCATGACTGCTTCTAGTGTGTGGGCAGACCGTGTGGCGACTCGACGTGCATGATGTCACAGTGCCATTGGGATTTGCGCAGCCTTGGTGGAAAGTGCGTTTGCGTGGCGCCGTGCCACTGGGGAGCGCGAAGCAGAGGGTGGCGTAAACGCGACGTGTCGCTGGTGAGCGGGATCCTTTGTGGTATCGTGCGATGTGTTTGCTTCAAATGTGTGGGCAGACCATGTGGCGACGCGACGTTCCCGATGTCGCAGTGCCATTGGGATTTGCGCGGCCTTGGCGGAAAGTGCATTTGCGAGGCGCCGTGCCACTGGGGAGCGCGCAACATGCTGGCGTAAACGCGGCGTGTCGCTGGGGAGCGGGATGACTTGTGGTATCATGTGACTTGTTTGCTTCTAGTGTCTGGACAGACCGTGTGGCGACGCGACGTTCGTGATGTCGCAGTGCCATTGGGATTGGTGCGGCCTTGGTGGAAAGTGCGTTTGCGAGGCGCCGTGCCACGGGGGAGCGCGCAACATGCTGGCGTAAACGCGGCGTGTCGCTGGGGAGCGGGATGATTTGTGGTATCATGTGACATGTCTGCTTCTAGTGTCTGGGCAGACCTTGTGGCGATGCGACGTTCGTGATGTCGCAGTGCCATTGGGATTGGCGCGGCCGAGTTGAGTGAGTGAGTTGAGTGAATGAGTTGAGTGAGTCAGTTGAGTGAGTTGAGTGTTGAGTGGGTTGAGTGTTGAGTGGGTTGAGTGTTGAGTTAGTTGAGTGAGTGAGTGAGTGAGTGAGTGAGTGAGTGAGTTGAGTGAGTTGAGTGAGTGAACCATCATCATCATCATTACAGCCATCACCATCATCATCATCATCACAGCCATGACCATTGTTTGAGCGTTGACTGTGGCATGTGGCATCCTGCCAAATTTTTCACTGCAGGCGTTTTTTGCTTCAGGGCAATGGCCAGTTTCAAGAGACCAGCTGCTCAGAAGAGGAGACGACAAAGGGCAGAGGTTGAGGAGGAGCCCAAAGAAAGGGCAGAGGCTGAGGAGGAGTCTGAAAAAAGGGGAGAGGCTGAGGAGGAGCCAAAAGAAAGGGCACCACAGGCTGAGGAGGAGCTTGAAAAAAGGGGAGAGGCAGAGGAGGAGCCCAAAGAAAGGGCAGAGGCTGAGAAGAGAGCTGAGGTGAAGACGACGAGGACAGGAAAGGTGGGCCAATGGATTGAGCAGATGCTCAAGGTGGCAGAGGAGCTGGAAGATTCCCCAACCAAGGAGAGACTCATGTCAATGTTGGCAGAAGGGCCACACCGAAAAACTGCAGTGTACAAGCAGCAGAGGTACAAACACAGACCAAAAGGAGCTGGGAACCCAAACCCAGTGCACAAATTCCAGAAGGGCCAGGCCCAGCAGAAGGATGTCCAAATAGTGGCCAGCGAGGAAGTCCCACCAAAAAGACGAAAGACGCCCTACAAGCCACCAGTGCAGCCCATCAAGGTAGAGGTGAAAGAGGAGCATGTGGAGCCTTTGCAAGACCTCCCAAAGTCACCAGGATTCTAGGCGAATATGTGCTGGCCCTGGCAAAAGAATATCAAAGATAAATTTTTAAAATATCAAAATATTTCAGAAGATATATATATTTTTTAAAAATCTATATGTTTAGAGAAAAAATAGGTTTTTAAAGCCTAAACAATTTTTATAAGATATAATTTTAAAAGCTATATTTTTATAAAAGATAAATTTTTGAAACCTAAAGTATTTTTGTAAGATACAATTTTTGAAAATCTATATTTTATATAAAACATAATTTTTTGAAACCTAAAATATCTTTATAAGGTATAATTTTTAAAATCTACATTTTAACAAAAATAGATTTTTAAAGCCTAAACAATTTTTGCAAGATATACTTTTTAAAATCAAGATTTTTATAAAAATATACTTTTGAAACCTAAAATATTTTTATAAGATATAATTTTTGAAAATCTATATTTTTATAAAATATAAATTTTTGAAACCTATAATATGTTTATAGGATGTATTTTTAAAAATCTATATTTTTATAAAATATGAATGTTAAAACCAATTTTTTTTTATAAACCCCCAGTCCCTTAAGCAACCCCCAGTCCCTTAGGGTGCCCCTGTGGCATCAACGCTTCATGGAACGCTGCCGTGGCTTCACTGACCAACGTAGCTTTAAGCTCGAGGGCACCTGTCGTGTCCAGATCGAGCGAATCATTAGTGTGTATGGTGTGGACACCATGTAAGAGAGCCGCAAGCACTTGCAACGCTCCTGGGATGCCAAACATATTAACTGGACATGCTAATACCGTGAGATCTGTGGCTCGGCTATAGGCCACATTGGTCCTAGTATAACATTCCGAGTCGAAGTCAGCATCCCTCCCATTGCCACTGAGGAAGGCTGTGCGTCCATGCATCGCTATGCAATGGCGCGCCGTTGGAGCGCGAAACACGCTGGTGTAAACGCGGCGTGTCGCTGGTGAGCGGGATGATTTGTGGTATCTTGTGATATGTTTGCTGTCAAGAGTGTGGGCAGACCGTGTGGCGACACGACGTTCGTGATGTTGCAGTGCCATTGGGATTTGCGCGGCCTGGGTGGGAAGTGTGTTTGCGTGGCGCCGTGCCACTAGGGAGCGCGAAACAGGCTGGCGTAAACGCGGCGTGTCGCTGGGGAGCGGGATGATTTGTGGTATCATGTGACATGTTTGCTGCTAGTGTCTGGGCAGACCGTGTGGCGACACGACGTTCGTGATGTCGCAGTGCCATTGGGATTGGTGCGGCCTTGGTGGAAAGTGCGTTTGCGAGGCGCCGTGCCACTGGGGAGCGCGAAACATGCTGGCGTAAACGCGGCGTGTCGCTGGTGGGCGGGATGGTTTGTGGTATCAAGAGTGTCCCAAAAGAGTGCCCCGCAAGAGCTTCCTACAAGAGTGACCCACAAGAGTGTCCTACAAGAGTGTCCCAGATAGAGTGTCCCACCACAAGAGTGTCCCGAATGTCCCACAAGAGTGTCCTTCAAGAGTGTCCCACAAGAGTGTCCTACAAGAAGTGTCCCACAAGAGTGTCCTGGCAAGAGTGTCCAGCAAGAGTGTCTAGCAAAGAGTTCCCAGCAAGAGTGTCAAGCAAGAGTGTCAAGAAAGAGTGTCTAGGAAGAGTGTCAAGCAAGAGTGTCTAGCAAAAAGTGTCACGAAAGAGTGTCAGTGGCAAGCGAGAGTGTAAAGTAAGAGCGTCTAGCAAAGAGTGTCAAGAAAGAGTGTGTAGCGAAGACTGTCCAGCAAAAGTGTGAAGCAAAAGTGCCCAGCAAGAGTGTCAAGCAAGAGTCTTCCGAAAGAGTGTCAAGAAAGAGCGTCCAGCAAAGACGGTCCAGAAAGAGCGTCAAGCAAGAGTGTCGTTTCAAGTTCGTTCGGAAGATTGTCTGCACTTGCTGCGTTTCAAATGCTCAGCGAGCACCTGTGAGTAGGCAAATGGTATCGGCAATGTTTATTTGTTAGTAATAAATAGAATGTTGTGTTTCAAGTTCGTTCAGAAGATGCTCACACACACATACGTACAGGCAACGCACACGCAGACGCACACAGACGCACATTAGACGCATTATCGGCAAAGACATTTTTGGTAGTAAATAGACTGTAGTGTTTCAAGTTCGTTCAGAAGATGCTCACGCATACATACGTACAGGTAACACACACACACACACCGACGCACATAGGCTGCATTGACGGGGGGTGAACCACTGTAGTGCAACAAAGTAATCGTCAAACGTGTGCAGCAGGCAACGCTAGGTGGATTTTCTAGAGGAACTTGTTTGCAGAGATTCACAGAGAGTGTCTACGGTTTATTTTTAATCAGGGTTTGTCCATCTTCAGAATCTTCAGCATAGTAAATGCTAGGCCGACTGTAGAGGGTAACTGATGGGCAGAGATTTGCAGAGAGTGTCTTGGTTTTTTAGGCAGGGTCTGTGGTTCCTGGCGATGCGTGCAGCTGCGCGGCGGTGGCGCCGGCGTGCGCGGCGAGGAGAGTTGCGCGGCCGATGTGTGCGCTGCGTGGGGCATAGTGCGGCGTGGCTGCTGACCTTTTTGGGTGGCGTGTGGGCGCTGCTACTAGCCACGTGCCTTTACCATGATGCGCCGCTGTGGCTATCTTGTGTACCTTCGGATGAGGCTATGATGGCGCCTCGCCAAGTGGGAGGTAGTCATGTGTTGTTGGTTTAATGTCGGAATATCGCGTAGCTTGTGTGTTTTTTCTTCCAGAGGTTCAGGATGGTGCCTCGCCAAGTGGGATGTAGACATGTTGGTGGTACAATTGGAATATCGCATAGCTCCTGTGTTTTTTGTTTTGGAGTGGCAGTTTTACATCTCTGAGTCTGAGGTGACCATACCACTGTTCACGCTGGTGGCGGGGTGCGGGGAGGCAAAGTCAGGTGGTTCAGCCTCCGAGTGGATTGGTGGGTCAGTCCCCACTGTGAACATTGGTGGCTCAGACTTGCAATGCCTTCGCTACCGTGTGGTTGCGTGAGCTTGCCGGTGGCTCTTGCGCGGTGCTAGTGGCCGTTTCTCTGCTGGAGGCCGTGCCGCTGTGGATGTCTTCTTTAACTGCCGAAGATGCTTGGACGGTGGCTCGCAAAGTTAGGGGTGTAAAGTTTTGGTGATGTAATGGATTGTGTCACACTGCACTTTTTTTGCTTCATGCCAATGAGTCCAATGAGATATTGGATGTGGAGTTGGTGGGTGATGATGCCATGCTGGTTCGTTTCAAAGAAGGCGAAAGCACAGTTTCTCTCAGGGTTGCACTTGGGAAGTTAGCGGCAGACAGAGAGAGGAAGTTTCTCTCAGGGTTTGCGCTTGGGAAGTTTTCATTCATCGAAGCACGTGTTCAATCTGTTTTCAATAGTGCTAACAATAGTTTCAATATTTCTGTCGCAGCCAGTTTTGGTTCTCACGCCCTCCATCGGTCGCAGCTCTCGTTTCCTTTGACTGGCAGCCGCATATTCGCCATGCAGTGCCCCATGTGTTTGAAGATGAAGTGCAAGCGTGACTGGCGCCCTTGTCAGTGGAAAGCGGAAACACCTGTTGCAGGTCCCTTCAGTGGGTGCCGGGAGCGCGACATGTCAGAGCAAGGAATCATGGAGGCGCGCGCAAATGTGGTGCCTTCGAACAAGCCCTTATCAAGGGGGGTTTGAACCGCGCGCGGGAGATGAGACTCACAGCAGAGCGCGAATGGTGGCACGGGTACTACCATGATCTGAGCCAAGCCCAGCCGGATTTGTATCCTGGCATCGGCAATAGCCTGCTCTGTCATGGTATGAAGCTGTTGAGTCCTTGGATGGGAAGGATGGCGGGATTTGCCGTCGCCAGAGACCGTGGGCCCGCTGGTGGAGGCTGCGCTCGCTCTGTACTGTGCCTCGGACGAGCTGCGCGACAACTGGAGCCTTCCTGAGGCATTGATTTGGTTCAATGTGAGCCAATTCCTGGACCGCTACCACTTTTTCCCGAATGCGTAGCGAAGGGTTCTCGTTTAACTTGGGAGTCTCTGAGGGTAGAGCTGTGTTTGCCCGACGTTGTTTTCGAGTTCGCAACCGTTTGCAACCGTCCGTATGATGTCTCTATGGCCCTGCCATTGGGGGAAGCTTTTGCAAGTGACTTTTCATGGATGTGTCACGTGTCAGTTTGCACCGCTATTACACATTGTGATTTGCATGAAAATGACATGTCGCGCAAGAAACGTGATGCATTTCGCTGCACAGGCGCAGGGTTTTGTGATATCCGCAGTTTGCTGCGCAGTTCCATTGGGATTAGCGTTTGGAGAGTCGTGTTTTTGGGGTGTTGGATGTGGCCGTGCCATTGGGATTTGCGTTTCAGGGTTAGCAAAGAGTGCCCAGCAAGAGTGCCAAGCAAGAGTGTCGAGCAAGAATGTCTAGCAAAAAGTGTCCAGCAAAGAGTGTCAAGAAAGATTGTCTAGCAAAGAGGGTCACGAGAGAGTGTGAAGCAAGAGTGTCCAGCAAGAGTGTCAAGCAAGAGTGTCAAGCAAGAGTGTCAAGAGAAAG